GCCGACCCTCTCCTCTTTTCTTTGAGTTAAATCAGCCAATGTTGATTAAAGAGAGAGCTTGAGTGTATATGGCCTCTCATGTATAAGTCCACTAACCAATATAACCAATATTTAAATAATTTGAGCACTATGCCAACATTTTAATCTAATTAATTTGGTCCGATTCAATTTCCAATTAAATTTCACCATAGGCTCTAAAAATTACGCTAATCACTATGGCGTAATCAATTTCGGGTTCTGTGGCCGATAAGGCCTTCAATTTAACTTCCGAAGCACATAACCAAACAGATATTCCTATGGTGAACAAATAGAAATTCAAAACCACATATTTTCACATAATGACACACAAAATCATATTAAACACATAATCATACTCATATTAAGGACCAATTAACATATTACAGAACAGGATTATCACACTCTCTCTCTCTCGAGAGGGCCGGAAAATAAAGTTTCAAATTCTGGTAGTGATTCACCTCACCGAAGTGCGCTGAGAGCAAAATGGTCTGATGATGCAAAGGAATTTGTTGAGCAAAGGGATGAACCCATCTCATCCCTCTCTCTCTCTCTCTCTCGAGTTGGAGAGAGAGAACGTGATCTAAAGGGCTGAAAAGAAGACACACGCATAGGGAGGATCATATGGGGACACCACACACACACTGCCACCTCTGCTCTAACACACTGATACACTCAGCACACACACACATACGAGACACCTCTCATTCTCTCTGGTTCTATCTATCTCTAACACACACACACAGCACACACACACTGATACACGAAAGACACACACACACACACATCACACACACACGAGGCACCTCTCCCTCTCTCTGGTTCAATCTATCTCTAACACACACACACACAGAGCTGCAACACGCACACATGGATACACTCTCTCTCAAAAAAAGATACACACACATGGGCTGAAAGGAAGGGCCCTCATTTTCTCTCTCTCTCTCTCTCTCTCTCTCTCTCTCTCGGTTGGGAGAGCAACACAGCACACGCACACAAAAAGGGGAGGAAAGGGGTGGCTATTCAGAGCTCTCTCTTCTCCCTCTCGGCACCTCTCTCTCTCTGTGAAAACTCCATGGTTTAAGTTGAGCTTCGGTCAGCCATGGTTGGTGAGTATGGGTGTTCAACCGAGGCTATCTCACCGGCGATTGTCAATGTCAGCCCCCGATGGTCAAATCGCCGTGGGTCAGTGGTGCCCTGCGTCGAGGTTTTGTCGTTGTAGGTGGGTTTGTTGGTGTGATGGTGTGATCCTTTCTTGTGTAACATGGAAGCTGAAGTGGAGGGTTTTGGGTTTTGTCCGAATTGATCCTTGCTTGTTTTAACCTCTCTCTTAGAGAGAGAGGGATGTTATTGATGATGTGTAATCCGGGTTGATGTGTCTCACGGTCGTGCGAATGTGTGAGCTTCAGTTGATGCAGAGTTGATGCCATACGCATGCACAGGCCATGTGTGTGAGTTTAAAAAGGTGATGATGTATGGTTCATGCAGGTTCAGTGCGTAGAAGAGCATGGGTTTTTTCCCCACCCCAAGTTGTCTGCTATTTCCCTTAATTATATATATGTTATATGTATAATATCTGAGTCATGAGTGGATATATGCCCACCTAAAGTTTCTGATCAATTTAAAATTTTGAGTGGCTTAGGTCGGGCTTCCATTGGAGATGAGTTTACATGGGCTGAGGCTTACTTGACTGAAGAAAATTAATTTTTGCTAATTGTCGATTTCATGAGTGGTCGGAGGTTTAAAACGCTGGGCTTCCTATTTTTTGGGCTTACTTGTTGGGCCCAATTTCCAGTGGAGAAAAGGAGTGGAAAGTGCCAGTAGGTTACTGAGTTGGGTTATTAATTGGGGGCAGTCTGTTTCCCCAAAGTATATGAAGTTCTTTATTTTATTTTTATTTTGAGTGTTTGTGAGGATTTTATTTTATTCATCTCCTTCGGATCTGTAATATTTAAAGTGTTGTAATAATCCCCCCACCTCGCTTCTTTCTATCATATTCTTTACTTGCTTTCCTTAACTGTACATATGTATATATTTAACATACCATGCATATCCATGCGTTGAATCCATGTTTCATGCATCTTGATCCGGCTAAATTTGCATCTTTGTGCTTTAATTGATTATCACATGGTTTTGTGCGCTATTGCATGTTTTGTAATGTTTCACATGTCATGTTTTAGAAGCCGGATCTTTAGAAGCATTCTTGTGTATGTATTGCATTAGGATTCTGTACATAGGATTATGCATATTTTACTAACTTTGTTTTGTAGCTGCTCAAGGGACGTCGGTAAATCTGTGAGTTTTTATGCTTTAGCATCCCGTTTGTACATAATTTTTCTTATTATGTTTAGCATCCTACCATGAGGCTAATTGCTTAACTGATAAACTATTTGAATGCCTGTGAATGAAGGCTTGTTATTTGAATTGGAATGATTCGATGAATGTCTGTTTTAAGCCCACTTTGTGGTGGCAAATTCACAAACTTTAAGCCCACTTTGTCAAGAGGAAAATTCAAACCCTTTTCGACAAACAAACATGAAATTGAATTGGTCCAATTTGAGCAAACTAGTCTATACCTTGTATGCTTCACATGGTAAATTTTAGGATTTACTAAATAATTAGAACATGAACATATAAAGAAAATAAAATTCATATCATGGTTTAGTAGAGGCCGATCTTTGATCGGGTGAGTAGGGGTGCTTATTATTGACCTTCCCCACCCATACCTAAGGTTTCGAGCCAAGCATCCTTGGTTATGACGAACAGGGGCCTTGGCACGAGTCATGAGTTTCCTAATTTCCCAAATATTAGGTGGTGACTCTGAGATCTGATGACGCAGTCCATTTTTGACAAAATTGCAATAAAATGGATTTTTAATAAAAGTTGCCAAATCTGGACTCTCATCTACGTTTCACATTGCACTCGCGAGACTAGATCAAAGAGATCTCGGGGGTCTGAACTGTTTAACGTGCACGAGTCCCCCCCGGACATGTTACACCTATCTGTTCAAATCTATGTATTATCATTTCAATTTTTTTTAACCTATCTGTTAAAATTCACCAAGCCTATTTCCCCTATCTATTGAAATTCACCAAGCCTATTTTTTTTCTTATCTGTAAGTTCACCCAACAACCTATGTGACAGCTCAAAAATTTGGAACATTAAAGGATAGATGTATAACCAAATAAATACAAGATTTTTCCAAAGTTACAAGTGTGATGCCCCAAAATCTACTCTAAGGTTGAAGTATAGGAAACGTCACTAATGAGTCATTTGGTCAATAACTAAGTAAGATCCCAAAAAAGATCAGAGAAGTCAAAATAGTCTCCTTCTAAGTCCAATCTCCTAAGATAGCAAAACTACCTTTTTGACAGATCTTAAAAAAGTATTAACACAAAGTCTACATAAGTTGACAAAAAAATGATAGGTTACAAAAGATATAAGTAAAATTACAATATTGTCTTAATTACAACAAGGGTTTTAATATTACAACAAGATTACAAAAATGGATTTAACAAAACTAATTCCTAATTCTTTTAGGACAACTATATGTTGTTAAATGCTTTAGTTTCATTTTCGATCGGCTAATAGTCTTCAATACCTGGCAACATGAAACACCATGAACTTGGAATGCTCAGCAAACGCACACACACCTCATCCTTTTTTCCCAATTTAATACACAATTACAAATATAACAAGTAATGAACCATGATATTCAAGAAAACAAGCAATGAGTTAAAAACTTAGATGATGGTAATCTAGAAATCTCCCAAAAAGATTTTATCCTCCCAACCATAAGAATTGGACTCGGATTATTCGGTATGCACCATCTTTTGTTGCTTTGTAGACCTTACCTTGGATGCCTACAATGATTACATACCACGTAGTGCCGACCAAGGACATCAAAAGACACAGTAAAAATAAGGGTCAATATCCATAACCTCCTCCATCCTTGTCACACTGAAATCACCTAGGGTCCGAATACAACCGATCCATTCAAGGGTTCCAGACAACCATTTACGCAAGACTTTATCTTTGAATAGGGAACATGTCCTGTCAACCAATACTTGAAGTTAACATAAATATAATCTCATAAAATTATTCTAAGTGTTCAAAACTCATTACCAACCCATTACCAACCCAATTAAGTTTTTCGTTGAGTTAGGTGATTTAAGTCAAGGTTAGAACAACTACGGAAATAATGAATTCTACACAAGTATTAACATCTCAAAGCACAAATGTAAAGAAAAATAGCCACAAACATATGTAGATGGCATACTAAGTTTAAACAAGCAATAGGAAGTATATTCAAGCAAATAAGAATATGAAACTATTAACAAGAACATAGACACATTTCCATATTCAATTCATCTTAAAGTTTACTATCAAAATGGCATTTTCAGATTTTTCACAAACTCAACCTTCCTAGGGTTTGTAGAAAATTTTATCTAGTTTCAAAATCGTCTTTCGAAATAAGATAACTTTCCTAGATTTTTAGTTATTAAAGAAATACTCCAGCATTGTCCATATTTGTCGGCTGTTACAAAAAATGGATTTTCTCTCAAACCGCTCATTCTATTTTAACAAAAAAATTTACTTGAAATTTAACACTTAAAGGAAGGTTTTGATACAAAAATGAGGTCAAGGGTATTTTTCTGCATTTTTCTACAATTTTTGGAAGTGGGTTGAAAATACCGGTCATTTGTGCACAAAACTTGAAATAAGAATAATAGTAGAAAATTAGGGCAACCATGAGTAATTTTTCACTTCTCTTATGATGAAAACATACTAAATAATATATTAATAACTTAGATTTTTGGATTGAAGGTGTGCCATTAAAAATAATGGAAGATTATCACAACCCATACTCGCCCCTACAGGTTTAGCGTCTTAACCGGCCAGTAATTCGTGATTACCAAAGGTCTGCTTACCAATAATAAGAATAGCACAATAATAGGGGCTGGCAGAAGCCAATCAATAATAGAAAATAATGTCCAATGAGCTGTAAGGACTTAAATGTACAAAACGACTTTCATATACTTATATATGCACAAACACTTAAGTCCAAAACACATATAAACAGAATAAAACACAAGTTAGGGAATTAAATCCCATTATCAAAAACAGTACAACAAAAGTCATAGACCACTCTTGCCACTGGAATGATTTCAAAAGGGTGAATTTGGACCACCCAATAAGCCTTGACACATGTTGGATTGGAACCTCGAGGTGAGCCGCAATAGTTGGTTTGGCAAAAACAGGGTTCGGGTCGATGCCGCTATCTCTGATCTGGTGCCCGATCACCTACATATATATAATAAACAATGAGCTAGAGCCCAGTAAATAACAACTGTGTAACAGGGTTATGAATGATATCCTTACAATAAGTGAAATAATCAATTTATCAATAGATCAATTTCTTAATCAATGTTTCATATCATATCAATCATTTCGTTTCATTTCAATTCATAATAGTCATACGTGGTACATCTAATAGTAGAACAATTGATAGGTCTTAAAGACCGAACAATCATTTGATGGCCATCAATGCAATAACAACAGTTTCAAGAATTGGAGCTGACAGAGATCTCTGTAACAATAACGATAACAATATCAATAACAATAGTAATATGCTATGGATGCCACGAATACAGTTCAGAAAATAAAATCATCATTCAATCGATAAAAAAGTATCATTTCAGAAAACAATATAATTTATCAATCATAAAATAAATACGATTGAATATATCTTTACAACAGTGTTACTCACAGTGGGCTCCTTGGTACACGTACTAATGGTTTGGCATCCGACCTAAACAAATAAAGTCAAGCATAACACAATTTCCATCCTCAATTTGATACAATACAAGACCCAAAACTTCTTTCAAGAAAACATTAATCTTTATAGACATGAGTTTGAACAAAAAAATATCTTCAAATTAAAAACCAATTTTTCCATGCAAAACTCAAAGTCTTGAATTGAATTGAATTTTGATAAACAATTGTAATTTAAGCTTCAATTTCTCAACTTCTATGGTACCTCCTTAAAATCATAAAAATTCATGCAAGGAAATAAGAATATGATCATACAACCCAAGAATGTATATCATGCATATGGTGATTTTGAAAGTTGATTTAACTAATTCTTCCATTTTGGAACACAATTGCATTAAACCTCCATGTTCATAAACATAACCCTTAATTTATGTATGATTTCTCCTCAATCTCTATGAATCATGTAGGAGAACAAGTATAGAATCAAAGTTCTCTTGAAAATATACCATGCATGTAAAGATTAGGAGTTAATTTGAACAATTCTACCATTTTCTAACATGCATGTCCTAAGCTCTTAACTACATGAGCAAATCTTCTAATTAATTATAAATTCAACTCAAGTAAGCTTATGTTCTTCCTATTTGAACCTAGATTCTATGAATTAACAGTGTATCATTTCAATTTCATGAATTAGGAGGTGGAAATTACCTTAGTTTGATGATTTAATGCAATATAAATCAAGCCCCTTCTTTCTCCTTCCTTCAATGCTTCTTTGAGTTCAAACTCTCCCACTCTCTCTCTTCGTGGGTCTTGTTTGGTGTGTTAGATGAAAGACTCAATATAAGCAACCAAGTACTCACTCTCTTACTATATTTGTTGATTCAAAAATGAGTAGTATTCTAAATTATTATTATTATTATTAATTAATTTAACTTTAAACCATTAAATCATTCTAATTAAGTTAAATAAAAATCAAATCTATGCAAATTAAATTAATCCTCATCACAATAAAATCTCAATTACACTAAATTTAATTTAATTATATTAGGATGAGTGAATTAGGCTCTAATTCCTTTCTAATTATTTAATTCTAAATTCTTAAAATTAGCGAATCAGACAGACTTAATTTTTATTCTAACCTATCTGTTTAAACAATACAATCAATAAGTCTCATAACAATCAATAACACTTAATCACATAATTAATATGTAGGAACATAATTAATAGTTCCAATTAAAGCTCAATTCAATCACAGACAATTTCAGTACACTCAATCAATTTTCAATTAAACTTCCCAAATTGGCTCTAAAAATTCCTAAAAGCCCATCCATGTACTCAATTTCAATTTGTGCACTCAACAAGATTGTTGATTTCAGTTTCAAAGTTGTAACCTTAACAGGTAATTTTTCAATTTGGACAGATATGCACAAATTAAATTACTAGGCACGTAGTTTAATTAGAATTAACACATAATTAATTAATTAAAATTATGATTAGCAAGTCTGGGTCGTCACAAATATGTAGACAGAAAGTTGTGGTTTTGCTTCTATTAAGAGATAATACATGCAAGGTGGCAATCAAGACTCAACTATTCTTATTCAAATACGAGAATACCATACATACACATTTGAAAATAATACTCTAAGCCTCTAATATCATGTATTTGAAACAGAAAATAAAAGAATGGGTTGTGTTGTGGCTTAGTTGCCTGCTAGATTTGCTAAGGGTTGGACAAAGTCTTCTCTCATTTTCTTTCTTTTCCTCCAATCTCACTCTTTTCTCGCCAACCTCTATCTCGGCCGTGTGTGTGTGTGTGTGTGTATTGATGTGTTGAGTGTGAAGAAAATGCTAGGTGGATGGTTGTATTTATAGAAGAAAAAGAAAATGGTGAAAGGTCCAACATGTCCTTTGGTTGGAATTGAATGGAATGAACTTATATTTAGTTGTAAGGTGATGGAATAGAGTTTGAGTAAGACATTTAAGTATGTTTAAATCATGATCTAGTTGTTGCTTGGTTAGAATGAAACAAGATTGACATAGGGTACAAGACAAATTTCCTAAATTTTGGGATACTAGTCATGTCACGACCCAAACCTGTCCTTATAGGTTTAGCATCATGATCGGCCAGTAATCATAGATTACCTACGGCCTCTATACCAAAAATCCATTTAATATAAAGCACGGGGTTTAGTGGAAGTATAACGTAACATAAAAAAAATAAAATAAATTATCCATTGAGCCATGCGTAAATGAAAAGAAATTCGCATCAAAAGCAAAGATTCATTCTATAGGTACATACACCACATTAGATCCAAACATCCACATCTTATAGCTATACAAACCCCAAAATATACACAAATGGAAGCTCCTCAAAAGGCTGACCCGGGTAGACTCGACGCTTTCTTAACTTTGATGTTCAGCTTGCCCACCTACATATATATGAATAATTAGTGAGCTAGGGCCCAGTAAGTAATAACAGAATAAAGAGGTTATATGAATGAAGTTCGATAACATGCCAATCCAATTCTCAATATTCAATAAAATTCATCGTCCATGTCATTTCAATATCAAATCAAGTGGCACATCCATGAAGCAATAATATTCCAATCACAATGAACCATAAAGGTCAAGCCAATGGACCATGAAGGGTCAAACCAATGGACTACAAAAGGGTCGGCCAATGGACCATGAAGGGTCAACACTAGAGATCTTTGTGTTTTAATCAATCCAATAGCCATGGTATTGTTACCCCCAGGCAAGGGTCTATAATCAATGGCCATGGTATTGTTACCCCCAGGCAAGGGCCTATAATCATGGATGCCACAATACGGTTTCAAAAGTGAACTTCATTTATTGACAGAAAATAACATTTTTAATAAACCATTCAATCAATCGCATATTGATTCCAAGAACAATAACAGTTTCAAAAATAAATATTACTTGAAAATATTTTTATAAAGTTACTACTCACAGTGGGTTATGTTGTCACTGGGGCTCGGACGTCCACCTATACAAAACACATAACAAAATACAATTGAAGCACCATTTGGCAACAATTTCATTTTAATTCAACTCTTCTTATGTGTCTCTAACTCGTTCTATGATTATATGAGTCCAATTGGTGCTTAAGAATGCTAGAAATGACATAAGAATGCAAGTATGCACTTAAAAGAGCTAGTAAAAATTTGCTAAAAATAAGGTCCTCGCTCGAGCGGGGGTTCAAAAATAAAGGTGGTTGCTCGAGCGCAACTTTCGTCACTCGAGCGGTCTATAAACTCTGCAAAAGTACTGGTTGCTTGAATTTTACGCTCGACAGTCGCTCGAGCCAAAGACTGAATAAAAAAGGGTTCGCTTGAGCGTGCACTTTGTCGCTCGAGCCACCGTGCAAATGCCTGCAAAAATGTTGGGAGCATGAAATTTGCGCTCGAGCGAATTGGTCGAATTTTGGAATTTCCAAAATTGTGTTTGAAGTTCAAACTTGATATTCAAAGGTCCAAAACCTGTGTTTTTGGTACAAAAACTTGTAAAAAACATTGTATAACATGAAAACACTTCCAATTTGAAACCATTTATTCAAAATCATGCTCCAATTGTCCAAATTCAAGCTTATGCTATCAAGTTAAAACCATGCATGTTATGGGTTACACTCATTTCTTTTCTAATCTTTTCAAAACTCTCATGCATGAGATAAAAAGTGGTAAAACTATGAAACATCTTCAAAAATGTTAAATATAGCTTTATGCATGTGGAAAATCCCATGAAATTCAAACTCAAATTGGTGATTCAGGCATGCATATACATAATTCAACTCAATTCTTCCAATTCAAAGTAATTCATGCCTCCATTGTAAAATTACATGCAAATGAGCCCATGAACTAGATGAATTCAACTTCTACATGTTTTATTTACAAGGATTAAGGTTGAAAATCATACCTAAGGCTTGAATTCAAGTGTACTCTAGTTCAATTCTTCAAATCCCCTTCAATTCCTTCACAATTCTCTTCTCTATCTCTCTAAGTGTTGAGTTTACACTCCCTCTCTCCCAAAATCTCAGCTCATGTATGTATATTCAATGAGTTCAAGTCATGAGTTGGCTTATATATGATGTAATTAATTTAGCCTAATCAAGGTTGATTAAAGTTAATTAATTAGGCTCAAAGTTCAATTAATTTATTCTAATTATTTTGGCCCGATTCAATTTTTGATGAAAGTTGCCATAAAATTCTAAATATTCTAATTAGCATATCGGGCCAGCCAATTTTGGCTTCTGAAGCTGTTCAGGCTTTCAATTTCTGATTCTAAGTCGTTAAGTGAACAAATATTCCATGTAATAACAGATAACTACAAAATTAAGTATGTAATCACACAATTAAACACAAAATTATGCAATTGAGCTTATTGAAACATATAATATAATAGTTCGGAGGTCAGAGTCGTCACAAGTCTACTTTTCTTCCATATTTTCATAAAATTTGCTTCAAAAAGTACTCTACAATCTTCAAAAAGAGAGGAGGTAGTGGGAAGGGGGCATGTGAAGAGGATTTGAGGGATTTTCTAATTTATTTTTGTGTACAAAATCACATATATATTGTAGATATTTTTGTGAAAAAAAGATTATAATAATGGATTGTACCTTTATATATATAAAGAATGATTTGGGGCTAAAGTGAGATTTTCATAAAGTGTAAGGGAATAGGCCCAATTAAAATATCTATTTCGAGTGTAGGATCAATTAAAATAGTGATAAAAAAAATAATTTTGTTTGTGTTACTTCGTCTTGAATTAAAAGGGAATTACCAAACAAAAATGGTGAAAATGGAAAATTAGGGTTTTAAAGAGATTAATTTATAACTAGAAAGTTAAATAGTTAATATTAGAATATTAAAAATGATTACTAAGCTACCGGGGTTGATTAGAGTTTATATAGGTTCGTCTGTGATGCATTTTCGGTTCTAGGGTTAATTTCATGAATAAACGAGGAATTGAGGGCTTTGTTATAATAACTTGAAAGTGGGGGCCTTACTACGATTTACAAAAGTTAGGTGTCTAACAATCTATTTGTTGAAATTCGCTAAGCCTATTTCCCCTCTCTGTTCACCAAGCTTATTTTCTATATTTGCCAAAATTAAACAAAAACAAACTGAATCTTTTTATTTTATCTATTCAATACAACAACGGTGATTCAAGGAAAGAGGAAAGTTGAATTATCATTGAGCTCAAATCTATACATCTCTTTCTCATGGATGCTTACTCTCTCACAGATCAGTCCCCAAAACCACACCAAGGACCGCCATGAATACAGCCATTGTTGCTCCTAACAAGAAGCTCTCTAAACCCACAAAAAATGGCGTTGGTTGATGAGGAAAAAAATGATGATGGGTTGGGTTTGAAGGATTATGATTGGAGGAGTCGGTAACAACGTAGATCTGGCTGCCTTTGCTATTGAGGGCTGCTTAATCTATCTGCATTTCTTTTCTACCCTAAACTCTCCTCCAAAGCCCCCTTTAAACCTCTACCATCATCACCAGCTGTTTGGTTCCGAATCCTTCTTGGCTCTGCTACTACCTCTCTTGCATCAGGCTGATCATCCTTATTCATCGCCATATTGCCACTGCCTAACCCCACCCACTACCACCCTCTGGCACCAAAACTCTATCAACCATCTCTCCCAACAACCCCATTTGAATTTTCTCTACCACCAAATCCACCAATCACACCTCCAAAATTTGCACACAGTGAGTCCTAGGGGCTTGGACACTAATAAAATGGCATATGAATTAACAATTACACATCACATAATCAATCAGAATATAATGAGCCGAGCTCGAATGTGTACATCTAAACTAAGCTTGTAAATGTAATGAAACCAAAATTAAGTCTAAATAAACAGGAACTAATGGGTAGAGAGAGAGAAAAGAAGTAAGGGATAGGAGAAAAGAAACCCATCTCAACACATACAATAGATATAATAAATAATAAATGATGAATTGTGGAGAGTGAAAAAAGTGAAGTAAAGAGAAATCCCATGAGGATAGAAGGATTCTCTCACCCTCTACAGATGGATAAGGATATGGAACACCCAAGTCTATGGAAACTAGCAATGAGAGGGGAGATTCAGTCTATCCTCAAGGAGGAAGTTGTGCCTGAACTTCTACGTCATTAATAATCAACAAGAACAATACAGAATGGGGAGAAACTCTGATGAAGAAAGAAGGGTTCTCCTTCTCATACCTACGGAAACGAATATAAACTACTCGAATCCATGTAAAAAATAAGTTTAGGAGGAGAGAACAGGTATCTTCTTATAGAGGAAACCATGCCTGGGTTTCTAACCCATAATGAATCAAGAAAAGTAGTTTGGACTTGGCCAAAGTCACTATATAAGCCTCCACTAACCATAGAAATGGGAGGAGAAGAAAGAATTCAATAATATTCTTAACAATTCAACAAATGATCTCAAGATCTAAAAAATTCCAAAAGAAGAGGTAGGGATAGAATCAGAAAGAAAATGCAAGAATGGAATTGGGATTACCTCTAAACTAATAGAGATAGGGTCCAAGCTGGTCACAAACTCTAATCCAACCCTCCTTTGATCAGTAGAAGCTTCTAGCTCCAAGAAAATGTCCAAGCAAAGAGATGTATCTAGGAAGTAGTCCAAAATTCTCACCAATCTTTCACTCAATCAATATTTTCTAATTTGATTATCAGGGATTAATTAGAAGGATTGAGGACTTTTTTGTTCAATATCTTGGAACCTCTCTCCCTCTAAAAGAGGGGGGAGGGGGGGAAAAGGGGGGGGGGGGGGGGGGGGGTGTCATTTTATAGGCTTTGGAGGCTTGGAATATGCCTCTAGTTCCCAAAGATCCAAATGGCATATCCCAAGATCCTTGAGACACCTCACCAAAAATCTATTTGGTTGACTTCATAACAGTTTGAGCCGAATAAGATATGTCCAACTGCAGAATAGTGTGCCGCGCGTATTTCCTTAAAAATGCTCGGTGAAACAGAAAAGGCCAGATTACGCTCAATTGGACTATTATGTGCGACGACGGACTAAAGCCATTCAACATATTTGTTGAAAAGTCGTCCAGCTGGCCACATCTTATATGGTTGCTCTTTTTGGTAAGTTTCCCCAGTTTTGTCATTCATTCTGGCATTCTAAGCCAACTCTTTTGAATAGCAGATTAAACATTTTTGGAAAATATGACATTAAGAATGGCCAGGATGAATGAAAAAGTGCCCATTGCATTGAAAACATTTTGAAAAGAGATTTTAGGGTGCCAAAAACGTTTTGGCCAAAACAAGTGTAGGGCAGGTTTGGTTCACTCCATCCCTAACTGTTTCTTGGATTGACTTCTGATATCTTCATTGGAGGCTTGTCATAGAACGCCCAAGTTTTAAGACTGGTCAAAAATGAAATGTCTACAACAAATTTAAAATTATTTTCAAACTTGACTTGTTTACATAATGAGTCGATCTCAAATGAGCTTTTAACGAGCCGAATACGACTCAAGTTCGAGTAATTGGGTTCATTTAACATCTCTAATGTTTGAGTGAGTTTTTAAAATTTATTTAAAAAAAAAAAAAAAAATCTAGTTTGGTACCTAAACTAAACCAAATCAAACCAAACCAAACCAAGTCAAATTTTAAGTCCCATAAAACAAAAATAAAAAACTAGTTTGGTAAAAAAAAAAAAATAATAATATCTTCATTTGATTTTTCTCTTTGTGGGACAAAATTAATTTTAAACAAATTTAAATTTGTTTCTTTTTTTATGTTTATTATAGGAAATTAGTTTCTAATTAAAAAATTTTAAAATAAAGATTTGGATTTCCTCTAGTCCATTTATGGATCAGGGTGTTGGTGGATTTCGTGGGGCCCACTACATTTGATGATCTGAATTGATCCGACGAATATATCTACATATTTTGATCAAATTTATTTGCAAAAAATAATAATAAAGATAATTTTAAAAATAAACCTTTTATGTTTTAGATTAATCTTACAAAATTATTAGTTATAATTATTGGATGAATAATTTACATATAAAATTAAAGAAAATAATTAGTTCAAATTGTTGAAGTGAGAGTTACGGTGAACCTACAAGACTCGCCAATACACTTACAACGTCTACAAGTAGGAGACAAAAAAAAGAAAAAAAAAGAAGTTAGGGGACAAGTTCATCAAACAACCTCCCCTCCCCTCCCCCCCCCAAAAAAAAAAAGAAAAATGAAAATCAACTTAAGATTTGTTCTCTGGAATTGACCACAAGTTTAAAATAATTAAAAAGTTAGAAGTCACTATAAAAAAAAATTAAATTCTCTCTCATATTTTTATACGTCTTTTTCTAAAAAAATAAAAAATTAATTCTCAAAATAACCCTACTCAACATGAGCCACAGTTGACTACAACTTATTGTAACCCTCTCTCTAATTGGAGAAATTATTTGGTGATGTTGAAAGTATTATTTCACATTATTTATTGATGGATATTTGTTCAGTTATCTTCTAATATGAGGATGGAAATATGATAATGATGTGGGGATGCTATTGTGTCTTACAGCACAGTAAGCTTGTTATGAGGTTTGTTGGGAGCTTTTCTTGAATATATTTTGATAATTTAAATTGTTTATTGTAAACACTCTATTTTTAACTGCCCTTAAGACTTGGACGCCACTGATTGATCACTCGATGATGAAAGTTGTGCTATGCAAATGTTCGATTTCTTTAGCAAGAAGAGCTCTAAATCCAAGCCTTACACCCTATTTTGGACCAAAATCATTTTAGACCTTAAAACCCTCTCTTTTAAAATATTTTTGAAATTTTTTTTACGATGTTCCGGGGCTTGTATTTTGTTAAAAATTGCACTTTTCGGTAAACCGGGCAAGGACAACGTGGAAATAAATGGAAGAGAGGTGAACTCTTTGAAAAAATCTTTAAAATATCTAATTTAGAGGTTTGGAGTTGAAAAAAATAAGAGGGGGGGGGGAAGAAACCTAGTTGAGGAAGAAACTGGGCATAAACTGTTAAGAGAGAACCGGACAGCCTTTACTAAATCAGGTCTATCTTTTTGTACACTTGGACTCAAGTTGTGAGGCCACCACCATTGGAAATTGGACTTCCGGGGCTTCATTTTACACTCAAGAATCTCCTAAAGCCGAGTCCGTATGAGGGAGATATGGCTAGTTGAAGTTAGGCATCCATCCGATTAAGCAAAAACTGAGCAACCTTTACTAAAATAGGCATATCTCTTAACATACTTATAATTTTTATGTGAGGCCACTTCCATTGGAAAGTAGACTTCTAGGCCTTCAATTTAGGCTCAAGAATGACCTGTAAAGGAGTTCGAATGAGGGATTTATGGCCGTTTGAAGTCGGGCCTAGAAGTAGTTTTTTGATGGCCGACAATGCTTGATGGCCAATGGTGAAAAAAGCTAGATATTTTGTGCCAGTTGTCTCCCAAAAGCTCCAGCTGTCCAGGCCTTGATATTTTTGACCTAAGGGGCTATTTTTCTATATATAGAAGGCCTCTCTTCTTGCTTTCAAGGTTTGAAAACATTTAGGAGTGAAATATTTTTGGAAAAATCCTCTCTCTCTCTCTTTCTCTACAATTCTCTCTCTTTTTGGAAAATTGCATAGCCTATTCCCAAATGCAACAAAGCAAACATAGAGAGCTTCTTGCTGAGGTGATTTGAGCTTGGATTTGAGCTCTTCAAGCACTTGAGAGTGTGGAAATTTGTGGTTTATGGCTTAAGGGTTCACTTCTCTCCAAGAAGTATACTTTCTCTTGCCTTTGTACCATCTTTACACCATTTGTTTTCCATCTTTTCTTGTTGTTTTTAAGCTCTTCAAAATCTTTTTTTATGAGGTGAAGCTTGTGGTTTAAGGCTCTTAAAGGTAGAGGGGTTAATTACCCTTCTTTAAACCTTGCTCTCTATGCCTTTCCACTTGTATTTCCCATTCTTTCGTCAACTTTTTTTGAGCTTTTTACCACTGATTTTTAGAGTTTTCAGAGGCTAAAAAGTGATTTTGAAGTCCCAAAAATGAAGGGGTTAGAAACCTCTCCTTTGGCTTGTTTACTAGCTTAAATTGCCATGTTTTAGCTTATTGTGTTAGGTACTTTTTGTTTTCATTTCAGCACTTTTTTTGGTACTATTTTTGGGTTGTATAAACTCTATCTTTTTGGGTTGAAACTTGTGGTTTAAAGCCAATAAGGGTTGAGGGGTGGTTCACCCTTCTTTACACCTTGCTTTCAAGGCCTTTACCCTTGTGTTTCCCACCTTTACACTATCATCTTTTTGAGCTTTTAACTACTGAATTTCAGAGTATTTTCAGTGGCTAAAATCATGTTTTGAAGTTCAAAATAGGAGGGGTTAGCCTCCTCTCCTTGTGTCTTGTTTGCTAGCTTAGATAGCTCTATGTGTTAGCCTATTTTTCTAGCAATTTGTAGCTTAATTCCAGAATGATTTGGGCTCTTTTTTGGACTGTTGTAACTCTGTTTTTGGCTGGTTAAGCTATTTGAGTCTTGTATTGCATAGTTGTAGTGTAAGTCCTTTCACTAGCTTGGTGTTTTAAGGCTTTAACCACCATTGGTTTGAGTTGATTGCATGTTTTAGTGCTTTTTCTCACATAATTTCAGCGCTTATAATCTCTGCAATCTCCCTCATTTCTTCACATTTTCATTTTCTTTGAGGGTTGTTTCAACCTCAAGGTTGTTTAAGCTTGAGATTGAGGCTCATGCTTAATGGTTTAATTCTCCTTTGAGGGTTCATTACCAATAACATGAAGCTTCTCTCATGCCTTAAACTACCCCTTGTTTGACACTTTCTTCCCTTTAGAGGACTTCTCACCAATGGACTTAATTGGTTAAAGAATGGATTGGTAAGTTAAAATGAATAAACAAGTAGAAACTAAAAGTGTGCAAGATAAGGAATTGGTTTGTTTTGATGTGTTCAATCGGACATCAATTGAACACAAGGAGAATTGGGACATTTCATACTCAAAGTGATGAAATGTGTCAAGTTTCCTAGGTCTCCATTGCTTTTGATCATGCATGATAGGGTGATGGTCAATTTGGTCTTGTTTGTGCATTTATTGAACTTGTACAACTTGGTTCTTTGGCCATCATACAATGAAATTGCTTGGTTGATGGTTTGAGAGCTAAGTGTATCACTCATTTGAGTTTGTTTCGATGATAAGGAGCGATATACAGTACAAACAACCCTTGAGAAATACACTATTTTGCTCTCTGTTACAGCAAGGAGGTTCAAACCAGCAGTGGCCAACAACCATCACCAGTGGCCGACCGGCCCCCTGTCGGCCATCCATGAAATTTGCACAGTGCATTGGTAAGGTGGAGCAGAGATGTTCTGAAAGTAGACAGCTTTGTTGGTGTTCATATGTGCAAACAGAGGCTCTCAGCAGCAAGGCAGTGGCTTTTCGGGTGAAGAATCGAGCATGCATGCATTCCTCACTTCCCGGTATTAGCTAGTTAGTTTAATTAGCATTAGATCAAATACATGTTGTAATTAATTAGTTGTAGCTAATTAAGAGTTATAAATAATTAGTTAGTTTAACTAGTTATTCAATTTCGTTTTGTAATTAGTTAATTAATTCGGTTTGTAATAATTAGTTAGCTTAATTAGCGTAGCTAGTTGATTAGCTTATTCATTTCGACCCTCTTTCGTGAGGGCGTAATGTTGTAATAAGTATGCGTGCGTGTGTGTATGTTTTCCAACCCCACGTCTTTCTCCCTTTTGTT